GTCTGTGGTTGAATCTTTGGCATGTTGTCAGAAGTCAGGTTGCACTTCAAGTGAAGGTCTGGTGTTCTTGGGGTTCTTTTTATACACACCTGGGATTATGTTCATTACAATATTTGTCACAGGTGAACCTCTAATCTGTGATTGGTTGAATCATTAAGAGACATGACAAGACTTTTGTCCTTGCTAAAACAGGTGTTATGGACTTTAACAAGCTGTGAACATCAGGACACTTTTTGACTGTTTCATTTTGCACCCAGTTATTAATGTGAAAGCCCTTGGCATTAAATTGATCCATTCATTGTAACAATTGATTGATTTGAAATAAAGTTATATGCCTTTTTAAGTTACTATGTCCTAAGTGAAACTGAGTGCCATGAATCATCTCAGAGACTGTGAAGCATCCCTAAGACTGTGAAGCATTCCATGAGGTCCTGAAGCATCCCAGAGAAAACACAAGGCAGTGACTGCTGCATCATTCACATCAGTGTTGCCATGGAAGGCCAAACACACATCATTCAGAATGGATTTAGAAACTTCAAAATCTTACCATATCTTATCATAAAAATCTGCATATTTTAGCTGCATAAATTAACCGCTTCCCGGCACAAGGTATTTTGGTATTTTGCTATTTTATGGAGACTTAAGCACTCAAGGGCAGTTTCTGGAGCAGATCTACTGAATAGACATGCAGGCATTTAACACACATTTTATCAGAAAAATAAATTCTTTTGAAACCTGGATTGCTAATATTTACATGAATACAGTACCAGATGATTGCAGAGAGTATAATCTGGAAATTCAAGGTATAAAGCATTTATTCCAAGTAACATGTAAAAGAACCCATTCCAAGATTAATGGGAAAGAAATATGGTATGATGAGAAAAATCTCAGACAATAAAACTAAATGCTAAAACAACCAGAAAATTAATTCAGACTCTAAAAGATTTGAATGTAGAATTAAATAAGAGCACAGGCCAGCCACCCACCTATTTACTCTGAGAAAACTTACAGAGAAACTGAACACACTGTAGCATAAAAATGCCTGGGGCCCAGACAGAACAATAATAAACAAAAATGGTAAATGAAAAAGAACATTAATTGAATTTGAATTTAGTGATTAATTGTCATTGTTGACACACCACAGCACACAGTGCACAACAGCGAAATGTGTTCTCTGCATTTAACCCATATGTGACAAAATGTGACATAGCAGGGGTCAGCTAATTCAGTGCCCAGGGACGGTACTTTGCTCAGGGTACCTCAGTGGTGCTTTGCTGGTCAGGGATTTGAACCTGCAATCTTTCAATTACAAGTGCACTTCCCTAACCATTAAGCCACCACAAAACAGTTCTGTCCAAACCAATCTTGCTCTTTGGTAGTTACATACAGGGTCCACCTACCCCCATGACCACCTACAGCCAAGTCCAAATTCAGTGAATGAATGCAAAACAATAGCTTAAACACACAAAAACTCAGCCCAGAAAAGAGCTTATAATAATAATTTCAACCAGTTAGAGGCCAGCACTACCAGTAGACAACTCACCCATACTCAATATTAAAACTCACAGTAAACAAGGTACCAAGTAGAAAACAAATGCCAGAGTATCATGGACACAGACAGATACCAATCATGCTCCAGATCAGGCTCAGCCAGCGCAGCCTCACCACAGAAATGTGCAGATAGGTTGGTGATTGACAGATAGAGGGTGACACAGACCTCTCTAAGTGGGTCGCTCAGCTCCCGTAGGATTCTGCTTTCTTCAAACATCTTCCCCTGGAATCGGTGCTCATAATAATCATGGATCCTTTGTCTTAGGTCTGCTGGCAGCTTATGATATGCCATGTACTGCTCCACCTGCTTGTACTAGGACAGAATTGCAGAAAATTCCATTAATAATTCATTCTCAAAGCTCAGGGAACAACACAGTGATTTTGAGCTTTTTATTAATGGGCACAAGTAGTCACTGATTTTGGTTGGCAGGCTAAGTATGTAAGGCATGACAGAGGCACTGGCATAGGCTGATACCTTCTCATCGTACTGCCGACGGGACGCGTCTAGTGACTGAATGAGTGTGGTGGCGTGGCCCAGGAACATAGCATAGCAGGTCGCTCCCACCATCATGCTGAGCATGGTGAGCCAGACCTCCACTAAGCCCTCTGGAGCGTGGACACCATAGCCAATACACAGCATGTGGCTGATGGACTTGAACAGGGCAAATGAGTATTGTGCGACCCAGGTCTGGTTCTGAGACAGGGACAGTGACAGAGGGAGTTATACAATTAGCATTCCGCCTTCAGCATGGGCCATGAAACAGACTCTGCAGTGTATTTGACAAAAGGGTTTTTGCTTATTATCAGAGAATACAAGAGCAGATTATTGCATATTCCTCTGGTTGTTATGATCTTGCATGTATTTATTTTTATAAACCACACACTGATGACGGAGAAACTCGATTTTCCCTGGGTTAGGGATGAAAATGCTGGGGATTTTCAGAGGAAAATCTTCCATGGGGATTTTTGGGAAATTTGTATTTTCCTGTGTATGAACATTTGTCATACATACAAAAATTAAGCATATTCATAATAAGAAGAGAGGTATTGAAGACATTTAATTTGTCTATTTGCATTCAAAGGCAGCTGATGTTGAGAGATCCTTTCTGCAGTCGGTAACAGGGGCTTGGATGAGCAAAGACCCTTCCAGCAGGTTGATGCTGAGTTACATCAGAATAAAAGTTATTAAATATAAGGAACATAAATGAGCTAGCCTGTTTGATGGATCACTTGGAGTAACTGATTTTTTTCCTGAACACTATATATCCACTTTTACAGTTTTTCAATTTTACATTTAAAACAATAACAAAAAGAAATGTCAACCAAATGCCTTTGTTAGCAGTAAAAGTAGAAAGCGAAAGTAGCTATAACACGGCATTCTCCAAAATGACCATCAGTTGGCGATGCATTATCAATTCCCAAATTTCCCATGTTAAAATTTCCATGGAAACTATCCAGAAATTTTCCACCCATTTGCAACCCTTTTCTGGGAACAGCGTTATTAGCATTCCACAAGCACCACACACACACGTGCACTGACAACGCTTCCTTGCACAAACCAACACACACATAGAGAAGTAGCACCCCTTACCACACACCCACGCACACACATATGCACTGACAATGCTTCCTTACCACAAACTCAAACACACATGCAGAGACAGTGTCATCAGACCACACAACAAAACACATATGCAGAGACAGCGCCTCCTTATCACACACCCTCTCACACCCGCAGAGACAGGACCTCCTTACCACACACCCACATGCAGAGATCACACAAACACCCCCCTTATCACACAACCACATAAACGTACAGAGACAGTTCTTTCTTACCACACACCCACACACATATACAGACAGCATCTCCTTACCACACACCCACACACACATGCAATAAACACCGCCTCTTTACCATGCACATACACACATATGCAGAGGCAGCACCTCCTTACCACACAAACGTGCAGAGACAGCGCCCCCTTACTACATACCCACACGTGTGTAGAGACAACGCCCCCTTACCACCAAGTCATTCTTGACCACCCAGCAGTGGGACGGGAAGTCCTGCATGCTGGGCACCAGGAACTGCAGACAGCCATCCCAGTGACACAGCAGTAGCATCATGCCAATGAGGTTGGTGATGCGCAGCAGTGCGCTGGCCTTGTCATACTTTGTATTGAGGATCTGGAAGAGTGAGAGAGGGAGAGTAAGCGATAGAGGGAGGGAGAGCGAGAGAGAGGGAAGGAGACAGAGAGATAGAGTGAGGGAGTGGAAAGTGGAGAGAGCAAGAGATTGAAGGAGTAAGAGAGTGAGAGAGGGAAGTGGAGAGAGAGGAAGGTAGAGATGGAGCGAGAGAGAAAGATGTGCACAGGTTATGAGCACACATCCCCATAACAATGCTAAAACCTCAAAAGACATCCCAGGGAAACAATGACTTTAAACTCGAATCTCTTATTTTTTATATCATCTGCCTGTAAAAATGGTTTTATTTGAAATCAAATTTCATTTCTGAGCTGAGTATCACTCTGTCATTTAAATGAAAGTGGATGGGCAATGGCTATGAAGACAGAAATAGAGAATCAGTCAATCTTTTACTAAGTCTGTGCACATGACTTCATAATTCTGAAGTACACCATGTACAGTGTACCATGTACAGTAGTGGCTACTACCTTATTAGTTCCCTAGTACAGTGATTTATTATTTGTGTTTTCTTTTGTTTAGAGAAAAGCACATAAACTAGTTTCATTTGGTCACTTTAGGGATATAATGCTGAAATCCTGAATATATGCCAGCTACCAGGACTGGGGACCCTACAGAATAAGATTTCTTTCCCTAAATTACATGCTACCTCCTGCTCAGGATAAGCAGAACTATGTCTACCCTCTCACTTCTTACCATCTTCCCATCAACTGCGGTGCTGATCCACTGCCATGAGATCCCACCCCCCCATTTCCTCAGGCACACCCCTCACCTCCTCCCATTGGCGAAGGTATCGGATCAGTCGAGACAGCCGCAGCAGACGAAGCAGGCTGAGGACCTTTGTGAAACGCATGGCGCGCAGTGCACGAGCTGTTTTGTACATGTCTGAGTCCATATGGTCGTCCAAGTCCACAAAGAGGAAAATGTAGTCCACAGGCATGGAAGACACAAGGTCCACAGCGAACCAGGTCTGGAAGTAGTTCTGGCGGATGGCAGTTAGATCCAACACAACCTCGGAGGTATCCTCTTTCAGGAGGCCAGTACGGAAGTTGAATATCAGGTCAAACAGGAAGAGAATGTCACTAATGACACCAAAAATGATTCCAAACCATGAGCTGTCATCACCGTCAAAGAATGTGATTCCAAATGGCAAGGTTATCAAGTTTATAATCATCAGGACCAGCATCAAGAAGTCCCAGGAGAACCTGGTGAGATGGGATAGGTAAAAAGTGAGGGTGCCTGACTGGCAATACATATTCACAGGAGTCTAAGCCTTTATACAGTAGTATATATAACAGCCTCATGAGTGGTGTGTAGCCCTGTGCCCATGTCTGGAAGACTGGGTTGAATCTCATGGCCAAAGGAATAACCTCATCACCACTGGTGCTCTTGAACAAGGCCCTTAATCACAATTTCATCCTGCTCTCTAATCCCACGCTTTCTTCACTTGTATCACTTTGGACAAAAGCACAAGTTAAAAAAAATCAGTGTAATGTAGGGCTGGGTGATATATTGAGAAAATATTGTATTGTGACGATGAACTATTAATATTATTATCAATTTGAATATTGTTATTTCTAAACACTAATTTCCTTGCATAATTTCAGTTTTAATGCACTATTTTTACACAAATTATATTGAGGTAAGAGTCTCTTGCTGGTGTAATTTATCATTATACCTTTCACAAACTTCATATCTATTAGTAAAACAATTTGGTCATCTATATAACCACCTGTTATATTTTACTGTTTTCTATGAATTTTAGAATATTGCGAACAATATCAATATTGTGAAAATCTCTGAAAATATTATAAGACATTTTTAGGGCATATTGCCCAGCCTTAGTCAACTCCATTCTCTGGAACAAAAAGTGTGGCAGTCAGAGAAAAAACCTAGTAATGAAATGTCCTGTAGGAATTTTCTAGTCTTATGTTCTACTACAAAAAAATATATATTTTTTGTGTGACTTATGATAATTAGATTTCAGTTTACAGTCAATTCAATCTGTTTTTTGTGTTCTGGATCTGAAGGGAAATTCTAAGGGATTTTTAAGCAAAAATGGAGCAAAAAATGTAAGTAAAGAAATAAAGAAATATATTGTATTAAATTATCATAATAAATTTTGCCATATCGCCCAACCCTAACATAATTTGATGTGAACAAAATGACACTTCATGAAACATTTGCTGTATGTTTTTTACCCCATTAGATGGTGCTTTCTGTTCAAAAAAGAGCACAAAGCCTGCTTCAACTCTGGACTGTGAACTGTTGTAGTTCTAATTGAGGCTATGTCCAGAAGAATATTTTTTTATTGGTTTAATTTTTGTATGTATGTTTGGAAATGAACTTTGAATGGAAATGGTGGATTGAAGAAAAAGAATAAAAGCATGCATCAATTATGGGCTTTAGTGCCCTCTGTTGGACGGAGCTGGTCTTACAGTGCACCAATGTAATGGTACTCTAAAGCAGGGATTATCAACCTCAAGGCCCAGCTGTTGACTATTACAAAGTGTCGACAATCCACTGGGTCCCTGCGGCAGCCCAATACAGGTCAAACTACATTTACCTAATATAGATGTGCGGCCCACTGCAGGGTGCTGGTGGCCCCACTATGGGCCGCAGACCAGTGACTGAGAAACCCTGGACACAACCTAAAACCCAAATCTTGTTCCCATCATGTTGTTAAACTATTGGAAAAACAGAGGGTATTTATTAAAAGAATCAGAACTCCACAGAGGGAAAACAGTTTGAATTTTATGGATGTATGGCTTTTTGGGATACTTCAAGATGGTAATTTAACTGAAGTATATCTGAAATACATGACAGCTTATATTTCAAACATATCAGAATGTAAAAGACTCAAATTCATCCCTTCTTCCTCATCTAAAGACTAAGATGAATCCAAAGGGTCATTAACATTCCGTTATGCAGGGGAACATAGTGAAGGGCAGCCATCCATGTAGAGGCTGTGTGTGCTTTTACAAGTAGTACTCAAAGAGGAAGCATGACACTGTGCGGTGCTCTATCTCACCCTCAGAGCCAAGTCTTAGTCATTCATTCACCTGCTGTGATCTCAGCATCATCAAGGGTTGATCAAGGGTTCTGGAGACTGACCAATTGAGTAGATTTCACCAATGAAGGAGATGTTTTCTGTTATACTAAACGATTCAGGGTCAGTGATGGTAGACTTTCTGTGACCATTTTCAAAAGGAACAGCAGCACCTTTTACTACATTTCAGTTTCCCAAAAAGTGAAAGACCATTGTAAAGTAACGTGTAAGCAAACAGATGTACTCAATGGCCTCTGGTAAAGAAGTGGCTTGGGAGACACATGCTGCCCATGCAAGGTATCCCTTGTGTTTCAGCTGAGCCCTGCCCCCACCCCCAGATACCTGAATTCACTGAATGGGTGGATGATCCATATGCCGAGGGACCTCACCCTCTCCTGCTCCATGAGCACCCCCTTCTGGCTGCCAAACATGCGCAGGGAGAACTTGTTGATCGACGGCACCAGCATGGGTGAGATACGCCTATAGATGCAGCCAGAGTTGTCGACGTAGGTGTGTCCCTCCCCATCTTGTGTGACATCACCCTGGGAGGCCACAGGGATGCCTCTGGTTCCAGCCAGGGGCTCATTAGTAGCACTGCTTGCCTTTCTGGAAGAGTCCATTGATTCACCAGATTTGACAGCAGCAAGAGAGTTCCCTGAGAGCCTCCGAGTTGGCTCAGAATAGTTCCTCATGGTGTCCAAGTGGAAGTGGTTTGCGTTTGCTGTGCGGGAATTGCCATATCTGCGGTGGGAGGCCACATTTGTAGAGGAGTTGTCCTCACCTGTTGATGAAACAGTCACCATGGTGTCCATAGCATCACAAGAATGGTGCTGTACCTGGTTTCTTTCCTTGAACAGTGAAGCAGGAAGCAAATGATTATTCATCAATATTAGATGATTATCGTCAAGTGAAGTCATCAACACAACGTACGCAAACTATTCTCATAGGAGAGATATGATCTTTCCTAAATAACATGTTTCAACATACCTCAGAAGGAAATCCTACTGGAAGTCCTACTTCTGTTTTGTAGTTGTTATTTCCTTAAAGATGCAGAAAAATATCCTCCAAAAAAATGCCAAAAATAAATTGTTCCCCAGACAGCGACACTCTAAGCCGTTGCCTCTTGCGCTGCAGCACTCGGTGTGTCTGATGAGTGATATATTTCTATTAAACTTAACCTATGCATCCAATTAAAGGTAAAAAAGGCATCAAAGATCACAAAAATGCGAAGGCCACAGCACATATGCACATCCAAGAAAGAAAAAAGACAGGTGGTCGGCGAAGCACATCAAGAAATTAAGGAGAGACACCAGCTTGAGATGAGCTTACATTTCAAATGTAAAGTAATGTATTATTTGCTGAAACCAAGATCAGGGACTCACCAGAAGTCAAATTAAAAGAGGTAATTTAGTCTAAAAAATCTGTGTAACTCTTCTGGTACTTGTTTTATTTTGCTCTTCATTTCTTTGATTACCCCTCAGAATGTTCAAGAAGTCCTCCAGCTGAATCACCCAAACTCCTGAGTCTTTCTTTTAGGAAGCTTTTAGTAAAACACCAAAGTGACTGAAGAAAAATGAAAAACAAAATAAAAATATGAAGACCTGCAATAAATGCTAAAATGGTAGTAATATTATAGTAATATGATAAATACGTGGTGCGTATTGCCGTATCACCACCTTCCGTAGCCTAAGGTCGTGCCATTTAGAGCACCGCTTATGGCACGTTTGTAAAAGTGGGAGGAGGCAGGGAACTGAAAAAGTAAAGGGTGAACTACGTAGGATGGGGAAGGATACCCAGGCTGGCATGTTGTAAAAGCCTGCCTTCTAACCTATATTTATCCCCATGTTCACACATAAAACAACATGTGCCTTTATATAATTTAAAACGTGATATAACCACTCAATTTTGACATAATTTTCGCAATATGGGAAAACAACTCCAGGATCAGTTATCTTGAGTTGGATCTATTATGACTTACGTCAGGGGCCCGTTATAATTCAGAACCTTATAATTCAGGTTTTTGAAATATTAAAATACAGTGTTCCTAACTGGGAGCTGTGTGGACGAGTGTAGGGAGAAACAGGACCCCCAATCATTTACACATCACATACCTGTAAGTACTGAGGTCTATATATTACTGTGCAAAAGTCTCAAGCAGTGAAAGAAAATGCTTAAAGCTATTTAACTAGGTGGCAACTATATATTTATAGAAAAAATACATTATAACATATGCAAATTAAACGTAACACAATAAAAACTAACTAGAAAAAAAACTAAAAACTAACTTCTTCTCCATATAGATACTATTGTCTTAGCTGGCTGGAAGAACTGCTTCACTTCCCAAACCTCTCCCCAGGGGCACCCAGCCATTCCATGTATTTGGTTAATTTCATCACTGGCTCAATTAACTAATTAACATAACTGGTTAAATAACTCAGTGAGGTATTGATTCGCCAAACATGGTGTGGTAGTGGTAAAGTAAAAAAAAAAATACAACAGTTTATTGGATGGTTACTGCAGATACTGGGGTGACTTTAGGAGAGGTTATGAAATGGCTAAGCTGACACACTTTGACAGGCAATATCATAGTTCAACTTGAACATCATTTAAACATCAATTTCTTTGACTGTACTGTAATTAAGGTGCTTTATAGATTAATAAATAAATTAATAAATACTCCTGTTGTGGGTAAATGTTTTGATAGTTTTCATAGTTTTTTGGATAAGTTTTGAGAGACTGTTGATTGGTAGCTGTTAAGTAGTAGCTCTAAGAATGTGCACAATGACCAGAGTCTTATGTTTTGACAAAGTCATCATCCATCCCTCTTGTAAATGACCTGTGTTGTGGGATAAACGTTATCACAAAGGCGAGAATATTTGCACAAGATAAGGAAAAATGGAAAACAGAGCAGGAAGATGTAAATAAAATTAGATATTATATTTATTATTTAGAATTAGGGGTTATGAACCAGACGTTCTGACAGAATAATGCAAAAAGACAACAGTGATGTGTATCTAAGGTAACAACCTTTCTCTTATGCCTCCACACTATAAGTAATTCACAAGCTATATGGTCAGGGTCACTGCACACTTTGTACAAAAGCTTGATGCCATAGTTCTCAATTCCAGTCAGGCAGTAGCTGTGACTACACAGGTTATGGTGTTTCACTCTGTCAGTCAGTGTTGTGGATCCGATTACATTGTATAAGCAAGAAAGAGTTAATGTGCCGGAGTTATTGAATGGGATGATGGGAGTGATCTCATTTTACTGTGGTGTCAGTACACACGAGTTAACAGCTGGGAAATGACAGCATGTGCTACTGACAAGACTAGAGGAAGAACTGTTCAGCATGAGTCAAAGAAGTGATATGTGTGCAGAGTGTCTTCAGCTCACACTACTACATTCTATCTATCTATCTGTCTGTCTGTCTGTCTGTGTCTTACCTCCCTACCTATCTACCTACCTACACCCTTGTGCAGATTATTTGAAAAAAGCTGTCACACTGACATGCATGCAGAGACCTGAGGCCTGCTGGTTTGCACAGCCAACAGGGCAGAGAGTGTACTGAATGGATGGACAGAGGAGGCACTGTGCCCACAGACAGGCAGGTCTGCTTGGGTGGGGTTAGAGCTGGGTGGGTGGACAGAGGAGGCACTGTGCCACAGACAGGCAGGTCTGTTCGGGTGGGGTTAGAGCAAGGTGAGTGGACAGAGGAGGCACCATGCCCACAGACTGGCAGGTCTGCTCGGGTGGGGTTAGAGATGAATAGATGGACAGAGGAGGCACTGTGCCATAGACAGGCAGGTCTGTTTGGGTGGGGTTAGAGCTAGATGGGTAGACAGAGGAGGCACTGTGCCCACAGACATGCAGGTTTGTTCCGGGTGGGGTTAGAGCTGGGTGAGTAGACACATCTATCAACCTATCATCCATCCATCCATCCATCTATCCATCTATCCATCTATCTATCTGTATGTCTGTACTTCTGTCTGTCTACTTGTTTTGAGTGATGCCAGAAAGAGGGCCTGAAGCTGAGAAACCTGGGGAATTTGCTGGGATGAGTCCCAGAATGTCATCCAGCAGTGTCTAGGTAGAGAGAGTAGGAGAGCATGACTGAAAGGGAAGCAAGGTATAAGGTGTGCATGGCATCAGCATATATGTGTGTGTGTGTGTGTGTGTGTGTATTTGCATAGATCATATATGAGGACCAAACTGTCCCCATAAAATTGGATAACCTCAATTTTATAAAAATCGGTGAATACAATAAAAAAGTAAAAATGCCAAAAGTCTTGTATTTGGGTTGATTACTTGTAGTTAAGGTTAGGGATGGGAGGAGGTTAAGGGTGTTGTGATTGGGATTAGGGTTTTTCCCATAGAAATGAATGGACGGTCCCCATTTAGATAGGTACACCAACATGTGTATGTGTGTGTGTGTGTGCGCGTGTGAGTGTCACAGAGACACTTCTCATGTCCTCTGGGTCTGACTCTTGGATCATATCTTGATGTCATAAAGATTTTCCCAGCTTTGGTGAAAAGGGGATTTTATTTCAGTTTTGATGCCATATATTTTGCGGACTCTTCTGATAAATAAAAGATAGGGATGGCCTATGCAAGTGGCAGGAATGCTCACAGTAGGATGAGTCAGTCCATTAGTAGCACATGCATGGCAAAGCCTGCTGTAGTACTGGTGTGAACACTGTAATGGGAACACTGGAGTGAAAGTTCTGCAACTCGAGAAATAGGGATTAACTGGACAATAAATAACACCCAACAGCACAGACAACAGCACAGATGTAGTAGAGTAGATATAAATTTATACACACCGTGGCTACAATGATTTTGTAATGAAAAGAAACAAAATTAAGATTAATCATGTCAGATCTTGTTCTACCTTTAATGCAAAATTGCAGCCTATACAAATAAGGTGGAAAATCAGAAACCTTTTAGGGAAAAAAACTAAAATTAAAAACTCACAATAGCCTGGTTGCATAGGTGCATACATCTTTTTATAACTGAAATGTGGCTGTGTTCAGAATCAACCAATCACATTCAGTCTCATGTGAAATACTAGTTAGTCTACACCTGCCATCAGTTAAGGAGGTAAGGAGCACATGCTGATACAGTGTGTTGCCACACCCACCACATGACAATCCACCTCAAGGATGAGAACATGAGTGCAGCCATGCAGCAGGTGATACCTCAGCACTGCACTAGTCAGAATGGAACAGTGTGAAGATTCTCCTGGGGGCTGGAGCACCAATCCTGCTACCAACCCCCAAATTTTCCTTGGAAGTTGGACAACCTGCTTGCAGGACTGGATGTAGATTAACATCATACCCAGGACAAAGCAATTGCAGGTTAAGGGCCTTGCTCAAGGGCCCAACAGAGAAGAATCATTCCTGACATTCACAGGATTCAAACCAGCAACCTTCCAATGACAGGCATAGATCCCTAGCCTCAAAGCCACCACTCTGCAATTAAAGTAGGTCCAAATAAAGTTCTGCTGTTCCTTTAAGATTTTCCTGATATCTTCTTGGTTGCATCCTACTGCAAAAGTCATGGCCTGCAAAGAACTTTCAGCAAGAACTGGATCTCATTCTTGTAAGGTATTGATCTGGAGGGCAGTACTAAATAATATCAAAGGCATTACATATACCATTGCGCACAGGGAGGACGATCATCAACAAGTGGAGAAATCACTGCACCACAGTGAAACTACCAAGAATAGGACATCCCTGCAAAACTGATGAGAATATAAGGAGAAAACTGTTCAGTGAGGCTGCCAAAGGGCCTAGGGCAACATTTAAGGAGCTGTAGGAATTGCTGGCAAGTTCTGGTTACTTCTTACATGTGATAACAATCTGCCATTATTTTCATACGTTTGGGCCAAGATTCTGAAATGAACCTTTGAGCATGATAATACCACAGCACACCACCAAAATAACAGCATACCCACTGTGAGGTGTGGTGCAGGCAGTTGTCTCCAAATGTGGTGCAGGCTGCTTTTCTTCAGCGGTAACTGGAGCTTTATTGAAGGTTTAGCAAAGTGTCCTGAATGCCTCTAAATACCTGTTGATTGAAAGCTGAAAATGAAGAGAAATTTCACAATTCAGCATGATGATGACCCAAAGCATGCATCCAAATCACCAAAGGGACGGTTTCACCAAAAGAAGAGCAACATTTTGGAATGGCCACAGCCACAGCCAAGACCCGAATCCAATTAAAGATTTATGAGGTGATCTGAAGAGTGCTGTGCACTCACAATGTGATGGATCTAAAACATTTTTTCAAGGAAGAGGGGGTAAATAATGTCAGGAAAATGTTTCTGTTTTATTTTGACCTTGTTTGGATAGGTTGCAATTTTAAAAGTGGAAAATGTTCTGACATTAATTATCTTGATTCCTTTTTTTACTACACAGGAACTTGCCATCTTGACAGGCTGCCTGTGCTTTTTACATCCACTGTGTGCTGAAGCCTGAGACAAGGCACACTGGAGTCAGGCGATTTTTTTGGCAACGCTTTCAAAGTAATCCAAGCCCGGAAGCATAAACAAACTCACAAACTGCCAAGGTATCAGTGACATTAGCTGCTCATTATGCTGTTAAATGATTAATTGGTGTTTAAGACACATATCTATGATGGACCCTTGCAGTGTTGTGCTGTGGCTGACGTCATCTGTGCAAGGCTCTTCAGCAGGGAGGCTTATAATGGTTGAGATGCAGGCTGACGAACATGGCCATTTAATCCGGTATATGACTACAGCGATCATCATCCTTGGCATTATCTTCTGACATCGAGTGCTAGGTGTGCTGAGTCACCAAGTCTCCTGAACACCCCCACCCTAACCCCCCTGCTTCAGTTTTTCTCTGCTTCATGGCTGATCTACCTAACGTGTTATTGATTTACCTGTTTGTTGTTGGAGCTTCTTAACCTCTGCCTGCTCTATCTATAGTTCTGATTCTGTGTGTTTGTATGTTTATAAGTGGAATAGCATTCAGAGCTCCATGTCATGTGGGTTATCAGTGCCTTACACTAAAACCTTATTACCTATACAGTAATAATCTTATATATTTTGTATAATGTGTTGAGCCTTTTGACTGTGCCACTTCTGTTTTTTATTTGATAATAGATATTCCACAGTTAACTTAAGTGGTATTGTTGCAAAGGAATAACAGAAAGTCTGCAACGCTCTGTTGACTCAATAACTGCAGAGTTCCAAACTTGCTCTAGCATTAACCCCAGCAGAAAAACTGTGTGGCAGGAGTTTCATGGAATGGACTTTCATGACCAAGCAGCTGCACTCAAGCCTCTTATCACCAAGGGCAATGCCAAGCATCAGTAGGAGAGCATGACGGAAAGGGAAGCACTAAATTAACACTTGTGTTAAAACGGAACTTTTCAATTGCCAGGGAATTGGAAGATAGCAAAAACATGGACCATTTGGTGGTCCCTGGGGACTGGGTTGAGAAACCCTGGTGTAGAGTACACCACTACACCACCAACTCCATATTGATGCCTATGGATTTAGAATGGGATGTCGCAAAAGTGAGACATCCAGGTGTCCCCATACTTCTGGTCATATAGTGCAAATAAGTTCTGCTAGGCTGGTCTTCCCACAACAAGTATCGTTTAGTTTTGGAACACAGCTATACAAAACATTATTTTACAAATAATTCCCTAAGGAATTTCACTAGAAAATTAGAAGAGTATTCAGTGTTGCTAAGGGACCATAACTAAGGAATAGCCAATGGGTCAGTGGTTGGAAGAGTTTTTCTGATGTGTTGCTGCAAAAATGGGCCTTGAAGAATTTCATGAAGGAGGGACTGCAGGTGACTGCAGGTAGATGGGTCACTCATTCCATCACTGAGGGACCACACATGAGAAACACAGCATCAGGCATCATGGTGGTGGGATGACCAGGTGACTGAACGTGAGATGGAATGCAGGTTCAAATGAGATTAGCTGCCATTGCATTAATGGCTCTAAAAGCCAGCACCAATGAATCCAAATAAGACAGACAAGGGGAGGTGTGACGTGAGTGTGTTTTGGCTGCTTGAATATCAGACATGCTGCTGCACAACCTGGCAGCCCTGTCAGTAAACAGTTAATGGTCTAATTGCAAAAAGAGATTTTAATTTTAATAAGTGACTAGACTCGGAGTTAAGCTGCCTTTTCTACATTTACAATTTATTCATCTGAACCTTTTATTCAAAGCAACTTACAGAAGAGAAAAGGGTAATGATTTAAATGTGCCTCCAGAGATTAGAACCCAAAACTTTTGCATTGTTAGAAAAATGTGTTGCTTATCCAGCTACAGGAGCATACTACATTCTCATAAATAAGGTGTGTCCTTCCTGAAGTTATATAAAACAAATCTACAAGACCAGGAGATGCAATATGATCAGCAAAGGATATCTATCATTATCCCAAGGTTCCTAGTGAACCTTTATGGAGACAATGTCAATGATCAAGGCTGAATATAAGAACATAAGAAATTTACAAACGAGAGAAGGCCAATCTGCCCATCAAGCTCATTTGGGGAGAACTTAACTAATAGCTCAGAGTTGTTAAAATCTTATCCAGCTCTGTTTTAAAGAAATCCAGGGTTCTAGCTTGCGCTACACTAGCAGGAAGACTATTCCACTCTCTAACTACATGCTGTGTAAAGAAGTGCTTTCTCAAATCCATTTTAAAATGTTTTCCTGCTAATTTCCACCTATAGCCACAAGTTCTAGTATTTGAACTAATATTGAAGCAACTATTTGATTGAACAGCATCCAGACCTGTTAGAATCTTATATACCTGGATCATGTCCCCCCTTAGTCTCCTTTGCTTGAGGCTAAACAAATACAGCTCCGCTAACCTCACTTCATAAGACATTCCTCTAAGACCAGGAATCATTCTTGTAGCCCTACGTTGCACCCTTTCCAAGGCAGCAATGTCCTTTTTAAGGTATGGTGACCAAACCTGCACACAATATTCTAGGTGGGGTCTTACCAATTAATTATATAATCGTAGCATCACCTCCCTTGACTTAAACTCCCCACACCTAGAGATGTAACCCAACATCCTATTGGCCTTTTTTATTGCTTCCCCACACTGGTGAGAGTGTGACATGGAAGCATCAACATACACAGCAAGGTCTTTCTCATAATCAGCTACCTTTATTTCAGTGGAACCCAAAAAAAATCTGTACTTTATATTTCTGCTCCCTGCATGGATTACCTTACATTTATCTATGTTAAATTTCATCTGCCAGGTATCAGCCCAGTCGCTAATTAAATCAAGATTAGCCTCTGTGCTGCTAGATCAGTATCTGCTACACCACCCACCTTGGTGTTGTCTGCAAATTTAAGCAGTTTACTGTATGTATTGGTGTCAATATCATTAATGTGGTCCTAAAATTGAACCCTGCGGTACCCCACTATGAACACAGTTCATAAACAATATACATATATTGGTCATAGATGACGCTGTATTCGTACTGAATGGTGGTAAATTACTTGTGTTCTCTACTGTGAACACCTGTGTAAAATAATCATTAAAATCATTTACTATATCAATTTCATTTTCAATTATTAGGCCCTTACTATCCTGCAAATTAGTGATTTCAGCTTTTAGAGCTCTTTTGGAGTTAAAAAATTGGGAAAAACTTTTAATGTCATCCTTTGCCTCCAATGCAATCTTCCTTTCTATAGTCTAATGTTACTCCTAATTTATTTTGAAATCATTAGTTATGTTCCATTTCTGGAAAAGAGCCCTTTTCCTCCTGACTTTATTCTTAATTTCCGTAGTAAACCACCTTGGTTGCAGTTTCCTAGATTTAGTTTTGCTGGAAACAGGTATGAAGTCCTCTTGCACTTGCAACAATGTGCTTTTAAAAAATTCCCATGCCTCATCAAGAGTTTTGCTATTTAACTCCTTCCAGTTTACAGTTTCTAGTTTCAGTCTCATACCATTAAAATTAGCCTTCCTATCATTGTACATTTTTGTTCTGGACTTTGCTCTACAGGCACTAAAATTAACCTCAAATTTAACCATGTTATGATCACTACCGTACAATGGTTCTAAATTTCCAATCCTATCCTGGTTATTAGAGAAAACAAGATCAAGAAGGGCTTCTCCCCTGGTAGGGGTATTAACAAACTGAGCAAAAAAACAATCCTGTACTAATTCCACCATCTCAAGTTCATTTACAGAAGAGCCAGAGGCTGTGTCCCACTGTATCCCAGGTAAATTAAAATCACCCATAACCACCACATCATTTTTATTACTCATAATCCTGATATGGTCATATAACATTCTGCTTTCCTCTGCAGCTACATTAGGTGATCTATAACAAACACCAACAATTAGGCCATTTGAGTTTTTAGCATCTAGTTCTACCCATATAGCTTCTGTACTTTTATTTTTATCAGTGAGATCCCTTGCATGCAAGTTTTCTTTTACACCACCTCCCTTCTTGTCTATCCGGTTTCTACGGAACAACTTGTAACCATCCATATTATATTCTTCTCCATCATTGTCACTCATCCATGTTTCTGTTATTCCTATAATGTCGTAAGTGTCTGATGAAATTAAAGCCTCTAAATCATGCATTTTGTTTCTAAAACTCCTAGCGTTTAAATGTAGACTGCAAAGGGTAGGCCTTTTACAGTGCCCACTTTTATTATTAATTGGGGCTTTCCATCTCTCCCCACCTATATTCTTAACTATATTCTGCCGCCCCCCCGTCCTTAGTTTAAACATTTAAACATTAGACAACTACTCTACACATACGCCTCCCCAATACACTGGTTCCCCTCTGGTTCAGATGCAACCTGTCCAGCTTAAGCAGGTGCCACCTGTTACAGAAGGTCTTCCAGTGCCCCATAAACCTAAACCCCTCTTTCCTACACCAGCCTTTTAGCCACGCATTTAATCTCCTTATCTCAGCTAACTTAGCCTTGCACATGGCACGGGAAGTATTCCAGAGAATACCACCGTGGATGTTCTGCTTCTAAGCTTGTCCACGAATTTATCCTGCAGAACAGCCCTCCTGCCCTTGCCTATGTCGTTGGTGCCAACATGCACCATGACCACTGGATCCACCCCGATTGGGGCCAAAAGCCTGTCCACACGATTCGGAAGGTCCCCTACCTGGGCACCAGGCAGGCAAGACACCGTACGGGACCCTCTATCACGGGTGCACACATAACTATCTACACCTCTAACAATTGAATCCCCTACCACTACAGCCTCCCTCCCCCTGGGGGTATAGGCGGCTCCTTGGTGCCTAACGGCCCACCTGCCTCCCCAGTCTCTTCCAGCTCTAAAGCTGGAAGCACCTGAAAGCAGTTAGACACCGTCACTTCAGGTGATGCCGCCTCTGTAAACTGTGTACGCCCTTTTCTACGTTTATGACATACGTTCACCCAGCTCTCTCGACCCATATGTTCTTCATTCTCCCCCCTCCCCACTTGTGACGTACACACAATCTCCCTAAAAGGCATATTAACTCTCTCCTCTAACTCCTTGTTGTGTCGGATGAGAGCCAGTTGCTCCTCGAGGTCACGAACCTTGACCACGAGTAAGTCCACTAACTTACATCGCTCGCAGATTTAGTCCGACTGGACGCAAACAGCCAGAAGGGCAAACATCCTGCACACACAACACTGAGCTGGCCCCATAATTACCTAGCTCACTATGACCCCGTCCTTTACTCCCTGCCCAGTATATTTATATAGCGTATTTAACTTTTAGTTGATTTAATTAACGTATAGTTAAAACAATAAAGTGCCGAGTACAATAAAAGACTAAATTAACACTTGTATTAAAACGGAACTTTTCAAATGATCTGATAGCGTCAGAGATAAGAACCTTTGAAATTACACTTTTAAAATAACCAAATTAACAATTACCTACCAGAGACTAACTTCCTGCTGAACCACGTTTAACTAAAATAAAGCGAAGTTGCTCTTGGGAGGCCGATAAACCACAAAAAACCCTCTCAAAGCAGGCTACTGCCGGAGCGGGGAAAAAAGTGGAAAATGTCCTCCCGGTCCAGACCGGCGACCGAGCAAAGCTCAGGAGCAACTGTCCCTTTAGAGTTAATGTTACCGACGTTAGGTAATATTACCCCGCGGGTGTTTGTTGCGAAGGTAAGCGGACAAAAACGCCGCTCACGCGACACCTGCAGCTATCAATAACACTCGCGCTGTTTATTATCAAGGACAGACAAGCACTCACGCCGACCGAAAAAAAATAAAAAATGAAGCAACAACCACCCACGTAACCGTACTGGCACACAAACACTCAAATATACTTCCAAATAATTCCAATCAACTGCTTCAACAGGTGCACAACACAAGTGGACACAGAGTCTACACCAGGGTTATTCAAATCTCGGTCCTCGAGGTCCGAGTACTGCTGGTCTTCCAGGCTTCCTTTACCTGTCAGTCAGGTGTGAAGCTTCTGACCAATCAGAATCAGTAATTCCTAAAATAACTACCTGGGAGAACTGAAAACATGGCCTGGATTAGGAATCGAGGTCCAGATTTGAAGAACCCTGGTCTACACCAGGGGTATCAGAAGCATTTTGAATGGGGGGGGGGGGCGCACTGGAAAACAGCGCTAGGTGAACTAATATTTTATGTTAAGTGGGGGTGGTGGGGGGATGTCCAAATTAATAATTATGAAACGTGAGTGGGACACGTAATGGCGGCAACGCCCATAGTCTACACCACTCCCTCATAGTGCAGCAATCCCAGCAGCCTCACATTCCGAATGATGTTCTTTGTTGTTTTGTGCCCCACTGCTGATGTAACAAGCCTGTCTTGACCAGTGAACAGTGATTTCATAATTAATGGTATCATAATTAATTTGTCATATCATGTGAAAATTGAAGCCTTATACTCCCTTCATGTGTTACTTGGAGGGTCCTACTCAGAGGTGGACATTTAATGTCCAGAAAGTAAAAATCCAGACCAAGATTTAGGTTTCAATCAGCCAGTTGATTATAGTGTCACGCCATAGAATTGTTAAATCGGAATTACAAGTATATCATATATTATTCAAGTGCTTTGTTGGTTGAAGCAAAATGAAAAAAATACGGATACATTTTTTTCTCACCTGTTTCTTGGGAAAATCCTATGTTGATTTCATAACATACATGCTACATTAGAAAAATTATGATAAATAGCATTGTTTCATACCAATAAAGGGTACACAGATTTCAGATGTACACAAGCAGCAGCTATAACGATTGGTGTATTGCTAAAAATAAATAATTACATACCATTTATAACTGAAAGTGTCCTCTCCAAACTCGGGAACTCGGGTATCAAAAGTATTTCCAAAGTTTCAACTCAAAAGTACGAGATGAGGGGTCATTCATGTGCAACATGCAAGTCGGCAATTCGTATTTAATCCCCACTGTATGTAACGTAATCGTTCAATATAATGTACATCAGCTTCCAATGTCTTCGTAGGCCTATCACTCTTTTAAAAAATCAAGTTCGAACGAATTTAAAATGTCACGCAATTCGCTGGGACATATTAAAATATCTGTAGCTGCCCACACCCCCCCCAAAAAAAACCGCAACACAGAATCCATTCCTTTATTAACAGTACGTACAACGTACTGTTAATGTATGCTCCGTATGTACGGAGCCCCTAAGAGGTCAGGGAGGGAAAATATTTCTTGATATAATTTTGCGTTCCTTCGCAAAACGTTTGGTATAAGTCCAAGTATCTGGGGGCTATTCCACGAAGCAGGATTAAGGGAAAGTCTCGCTTATTTCGATAAGTCTGTCTTATTTAAGTGAGAGTTACGTTCCATCAACGTGTCTTAAATGAATCCCCGCTGAGTTACCATGGTAATTTACACCCGCAATAGAGTCTGGCTGCAGATCCACTGAGACTCATGTCC